CCCCGGTGCCCAGATGGCGGAACGAAACTGAACAGGTGCAAAACGGGTCGCCCGTGTTTCTAGTTCGTTTTTTTTTTTTACCGTGTAGTTCAGCTGCAGACGCGCGATTCAGTACCGTAAAGTGGCCGGTGGTCCTGCTCGCCTACTCCCCCGTGCTAATGTAGCTAACATTATTCGAGGACGTATTGATTGAGGAACAGGTAATTAGCTAACAAAATGGCCTTTAGCGTTAATTTCATTTCAGTGACTTGGGAACGTCAACGTTATGCTTGTTTAATGCATTAACGACGTAGCTCTTGGAGTCACGTATCGATTTTTTCCAATTATATGCCTGTGCAATTTCCTTATTAAAAAAGAACTAAATCAGAAGCACAAAACCAATTGAAAAGCAATTCTGTGCTATTGGAGAAGTACATTTATGGAAGGACTGGTAATTTAGTTTTATGGTTGATCATTTTTATTCGTCTGCATCAAAACTATTAGAAACTTTAAAAATAATATGCCTTTAACAGAACCTTTTTTGCATCTCGATTCTATGCATTGTAATAGATTTCTACAAGTGATCATTCTGTTTTTCCTTTACGTTTGTATCTCATTTAAGGAACTTATAGGATTTTATTCTGGATGGAAGCCAGCACTGAAATGGACCCCAACTTTGACTTCTCCGCTGGAATCCTACTCTGTTTAAAACTGAAATCTAACCAGTTTTAGGGGATTCCTAAGACAACTTTTACAGTGGGATTGCAGAAATAAATGGATAAACATTTCATCATGTTAGGTGATGTTACCTCAAGCAAGGTAGCTTTTTACACAAGTATTCATCAGTTTATTTACCTCATTCAGTGGTACTACTAAGTTGATGAAGTTTATAAAGTTTAACCAGCAGAACATGCAGAAAAGAGCAACTCCATGTGACTAGATCTAGATTCTTGCCATGAGCAGAGGAATCGTGCTAAGGAGACCTCAGCAATGTTCAAAGTATTGCCTCTGAGTTTCTGCCGTAGGCTGGCTGAGTAGCCCAGACTAACCTGGCAAAAACACTCAGGGGAAACCAACTGAATTTTAACGCTATTTATTGAAAGAGTGTGTTAAAATCCACGCTGGCTCTCCCACAAGAGCCACAAACCCGGTATATAGTCTTGGGCATCCCCTCACAATCAGACATAAAAACATCCTAGCTGCATTTAAATGCAGCCCCATTCCCACACACCTGAACACTGATCACATTTATACACATTCCTGTCCTCAGAGGGTGGGGGCAGGTTATTCCTCTGTGCCTGTGATTGGAAGGTCACCAGTTTGAACCCAGTGTTTGGCTGACTGGTTGCATTTTTATTGAACCCTTGAGTAAGGCCCTTAACATTCTGAAAAAAGCTCAGATGGATGGATGGCTGACCTTGGGTTCCGACCCCAAGTTTGCCTCTCACCTCTACGTCTTTCTAAGAACATAAGAACATAAGAACTATACAAACGAACGGAGGCCATTCGGCCCATCGAGCTCGCTTGGGGAGAATTTAACTAATAGCTCAGAGTTGTTAAAATCTTATCTAGCTCTGATTTAAAGGAACCCAAGGATTCAGCTTGCACTACGTTATCAGGAAGACTTCCATACTCTGACTACACGCTGTGTAAAGAAGTGCTTCCTTAAATCCAGTTTGAAATGTTCTCCCGCTAATTTCCACCTATGGCCACGAGTTCTTGTATTTGAACTAATGCTGTATGTCTTTAAAGAAAAGAGCGTGCAAGATGTGGAAATACACATTGCATTGTACCTGCCCTCATACTTGAATAAAAGGCAAATAGAACTCTAGTTTCATTTCACACCTGAACACACCGATCACGTTCAAACAATGCTATTGCTACACTCTCACACAGACCAATCACATTCAAGCACATCTGCATTTCCACATACTCGAACAGACCAATCACATTCGAGCACATCTGCACACCACACACCTGATGATACGCCTGATTGTACGCTTAACATGGAAGGCCTTTTGACTGTAGAGGTTGAATTGCCACTCTGTGACTGGTTACGGCATAGTTATAGTTGTAAAACAATGAATGATTACATGAATATTCTTAGGCCTATGGATAAACTTAATGCACAATGTTATCATAATTAAGTAATAAACCCATTATAATCATAATCAACCAGACATATGCACAAACACAGTAATCATACAGGACCTAATCACACCCACTATTTTCCTGGCCAACACTACACAGAGTCACCTAGCAAAGCGGGTGTCGCCTACTCCACTAGTCATTTTAATGTGCAAAATAGGCAGAGAGTTGTTACTGCCTTTGGTATTTGCTGTTCTCTCACATTACAGTTCCACTTGTCCTGTAGCAGTGAGAAGGTGACTCTGAGGCTCTCAGCCTGTCTCTGTCTGCCCTATCTGATACGGATCTCTCCACCCATCTCACCAAGGGTATTACAATAAGGAGCACAACTGGATGATCTCCAAAGAGGAGAAGTAATGGTAATAAAAACTGATAATACAGAAACAAATATTGTAATGTATCTCAGAAAACTAATATGACCAAGTCATCTGGTCTTTCTGATGCTCATTTTGCTCTTTCAATTTACCTTTACTGTGCAATAAAATGTTCATAGAGTGTTAAATCTTGTTCCCACATTACTACAGTATATTTATGGGCGTGAAAACGTGTGCAAAAATGTTGCCCTTATCTGAGGTCGAATATTTGGTTAGAGACGTTTCACAGGCAACGCAGTGCCCTACCGCATTGCCAATGGCTTTCACCTGACCACCGCTTCAGTTGCTCTGGCTAATGAACTTTACCGGCAGAGCGGAGTGGAGCTGGACGCCTGCTTTGTTGCAGTGGTACCGTGGTGCTCTCAGTTGCACCATCGCATGCCGACTCTCTCATTTAATGTTATTGTGAAATTCTTTACCCAGTGCCTGGAGCTGTAGGAGCGAGTAAAATTTTACTGCACACCCGTTTTCGAGTGCCTCTGGCTAACTTCCACCGTGAAATACTTCCACTACATGAAAATTTTGTGCCAGCCTTCAGATGCCATTACAAGCCCTCACAGGATTTGTGTGCAGTGAGAGTTTAAGTAGGCTTGGATCTAGTTAGTACTTTGAACCACGGGTGAACTTCTCTGTTCCTCGCCGTTTGATATTACATACACCTGCTTCTCTGGACTTTAAACCAGCTCAACTTGCGGGGTTAGACAAGCCAACCCAAGGAGAGCAGCTCATTCGTATTATCTGTTGTTCTGGTGGATGTGACATGCATACTGAAAGACTAGATTTGTAGTATCAATACCCATTTTTAACAAAAATTCATGCTGCTACTTTTTGGTCACTAGTTCTTCTGGTCAGTTGTTTTGTCTTGTTATTGTTCTGGAAATCCTACAGACCAATATTTATAGTATTTGTAGTGGTCAATCTGTGTTATGTTACAATGTTCTATATGCTCTGCTCTATGTTAGTCCACGCAAAACATCTACAGCAGTATGTTGGCTCCTCATTTCTAATTCTGTGTGTTACGTAATTCCAGGTACGGTGTATGGGAATGACTGCTTTTCTGTGTGAATTCAGGCTTTTGAATATTTTGTGAATGCATTTTTTCATTCATGTCTTAAGGGCACGTATCAATCACGTGATGATTCAGGCTTTTTATACGATACAATATCTCTGCTTTGTTTGGTATGCTGGTGAAAATACAAAAACCTCTGTGCAGGGTGCAGAGTTATTTAGAGGTCTGTGCACGACTGAGATGCTGTTTGTGGGCCATGTGTTTGGTGTGCTTAGAATGTGTTGGTTTTTCCATGAATTCAAGACTTACATTGATTCGTTTGTTTTCGCTGGTGTTCAGCCTGTCTTCTCACAGATGGTGTCAGAAGTGGTGTATATCCTCTATGTCTTTTGACGGGGGATCATGTGTTTTTTTCCTATTTTTATAACATACTGACAACTGGCAGTAATGGGTCCACCAAGTTTGAATAATTCAGCGAGCGGACAATGGTGAGGAGCTGCAGTATGTTCCCTGGATGGACGTGGAAACGACCGTGAAGTTTCAATTTGTCTCTGTACTGCTTAATGGAGAAGGGTGGGGGGGGGTGTTGAGGCTGTGTGGGGGCGTGGATAGGGGGGAGGGGTAACACGCATTGCCTGCAGTCAGGAGTAGAACAGTGGGAACGTGGCAGGACCTCTGCAGCCTGGAAGGTCGCGGGAGGAGTGGGAGGACGGCCGGATGGAGGAGCGCTGAGGAGGCTGGACGGCACGTTTGACTTTGGGGTCACACTGTGAGCCATGGAGACGGAGGGAGGAGATCCATCCTTAGCACTGCGCTGGAGGTCGGCACAGCACCAGTGTGCTTGGCAAGCCTGCTGGACACCTTGAAAGAGGGGCAATTTGCGCTCGGGCTTGTATGTTCCACCAAAGGAGAATGTAATGTCAAGTCCTGCGATTCTCATGTAAATCTGGAAGTGAAATTCCTGTGAGAGCGTCTTCATTTCCTCTTCTCCACATTGATACAAGGTCCCGAGCTGTCTAACAGTTAGCCAAGCTGTACTTAAATTCAGATTCTACCAGTTTACATTAGAAATGGCTGCCAAGTGTGTAATTGTTTTGTGTATGGATGAGAAGCACCCTCATGTGTTAAGTGCTGCTTAAATACTGGTGTGTTTCATACTCTGAGGTTGCTGGGAAATTTCTGTCTGAAGTGGTTAAAATATTCTGCTCATCACAATGCATTGAGTGTTTGAATGCTCCTAATTTTTTTTTTTGAGCGTTTTATTTTTTTAGCAGATGCTTTTATCTAAAGCAACAAACATTTGAGAAAGCAGGGCAAGAATCCCTGGAGCAATTGGGGTTAGGGGTCTTGCTCAGGGACCCAATGTTGAGATCAGTCTGTCGATGCTGGGATTTGAACCAATGACCTTCCGGTCACATGTGAAAACCTAATGTTAGTGTGGTTGGTTTGCAGTGTCGGTTCTGAGGCTCCATGTTTGTCTGCTGTCCCAGGGAGGCCTCATCGCTCTGCTGCTCGTCATCCTGCTCTTCACGCTGGTGCTCTACACACGGCACCGCTGGTGCCGGCGCCGCCGCCCGCCGCAGAAGAGCGCCAGCACGGAGGCCACGCACGAGATCCACTACATCCCGTCGGTGCTGCTGGGCCCGCAGGCCCGCCTGCCCCCCCACGGCTCCGTCATCGGCATGCCCATCCGCGAGACGCCCATCCTGGATGACTACGACGGCGAAGATGAGGAGCACCTGGGCCAGCACCTCGACCGGTTCTCCGACAGCAACACCGAGGAGGAGTACGGCTCCCGGGGCAGCTATGCGGCGGACGGCCTGGGCAAGGGGGACCAGCAGCACCAGTTTGGCTTGGAGAAGAGAAGTGAGTCCCGGCCTGTGGTTTTTAATTACTTTTTCTACAACATGGCTGAATGATTCATAGTTTGATACTGACTCTGACATCTAGCTTACCTCTGACACTGCCTCACAGCCTTACTCTGAATATTCAGTTCGACTCTGATTCTAGCTCTAGTCCACAGCCTGATTTGACAGTCCTACTCTGTCTGACTTTGACTTCTAGTCCAATGCTGATTCTTACTCTGACTTCCAGACTGCCTTTGACTCTGCATCACACTCTGACTCCGATATTCAGTCTAACTCTAACTCTGACTCTCCACCTGAGTCTGACTTTGCCTCATAGCCCAACTTTGACTCCCCGCCTGACTCTGAAAGCCAGGTGAATGGAATCCTCCATTATTTAGTCGAGTGAATCGTTTTTTTTTTGTTCCTTGACCATGTTTCAGAAGCGGTACTTATAGAGTTATTTACTATGGGCTACCACTTGCTTCCGATTGTAATCCCAGGATTTAGTCTGCTGTGATGTAGGTTTGTCACTGTCGTCTGACAGCGGCATTTCCTGTTTCCTTCCCGGCTCCTGTCTCCTGATAAGACCTGCGCCCGTATTTGGCACGGTAGAGGCTGAACCGGCCAGTGGAGTCAATATTATCAGTTAGAACAGATTGTTTTTCTTCTTCTTCCACAAATTAATGGTGCGTACCGCATGCAGCGTGCAAATGACTGACGGCTGACATTTAATCAAGCCATCGATTAGGCAAAGCTGCGGGGAGCTACGCCAAAGTGCCCAGCGATGTTTTCCCCGGTCAGAGGCTTGTTCTCAGCGGGAAGGCGGGCATCAGGAGGGCTTTGGGCGCCTTGGGTGACGGGGGGGGGGGGGGGGTCGATATATCGACCCGGTTCAGGTTCCGGTAAGGGCGCGATTGTGAATTTTTATGTTTATTCCTCATAATGGGGAGCCAACAGAATGTCATCCTCTTACAAGTGACAAGATTGGCCTCAAAAGGCGCTATATTGCTATGGTGAAGGTGTATGACTGAGCACTAAGGTGGTTGACAGGAGTATCAGGCTGGGGTGTATACTGGGGTGGGGCCACGGGGGCACTGGTCCCAGCTGGGGGCACTTGTCACTCACCGATTCAAATCATATCATTCGCTAATGATAAGGTTGACCGCTCCATTTGAATTATGGCCTCCACCTTAGAAAAATGCTAGAACTGCCCCCTGGGACGGGATGGGGGCAGGTGGTGTCCTCCACGCCACAAATCCTCATCCACCGCTTCCTCTTAGCGTTCGGAGCAGAGGCATCGCAGGCGAAATGTCAGCCCGAAATCGCAGGCCTCGCCGTTAATAATTTAACAGTTCTGGTTCACAGCAGCATTTCACTTTAAGTGCCGCTCGTGTCGTCGTGAATTATGCATCGTAAAGTTTAACTTCCCGTCTTCGATAGTTGGCATTTGTGCTTCTTATGTCTTGAAACAACTATTTACCCGGGCTGGCCGCACGTTAATCTCCCCTCGCGCTGATATTAAACCGTAAACTCAGCACTGTCTGTGGCCAGGCCACCTTTAGCGTAGCACGATCCATCGCGTCTGCTGTGAGCCGGCCAGCGTTCCTGGGGTCGCCGAATCTATGCTCCATGGATTTCCTCTTCCGCAGAGCTAAGCGCCGGCATCCAAGGGCAGGTGGGTAGATACGCTGGAGCTCATCCTGGGAGAATCGGCAGTCCTCTGTACTGTAGCAGGACACGTCATGGAGGCTTTGGAGTCAAAGTGTGCCAGTACCCTTCGCAAAGGCACTTAACTTGCATCACTTCCTACGCACCCAGCTGTATAAACCGGCAGAGCACATTTAAGTAAAAACGAATGGATGGATAGAGAAAAATCTACCCTGTGGCACATTAAATGTGAATTTCCATATGCGAAGAAGTTTATTTCCATGTCTAAAATCTATATTCTGGGATTCTGAGGCACCCTATACTCGTGCCCTTGGATGTAATTAGCTCATCTCAGTCGCCGTGTGTCTGACTTTCACCCTCTGGGAAGCTGTTTTGGGAGCATTGCATCGGTTGGATTGGACGGTAGCTATTTCGCGTACTGAGCCGCTCTACTCCGAATGAACCGATTTCCCCATCGACGGGCCCCAACATCGATCACCTCCTCCGATAAATCAAGTCACACGAAATGCGGCCATGGATTATAGACCTTTGTGCCGCGAATTGGAGATGTCAGCTACCATCAGTCAGCATCCCCCTTCTGGGGAGAGGGTTTACTTTCAGTTTAAGTCCCAGGCCCTCAGGGAGAGGTGCTGTGCAGGTTCTAGGGGCCAGCTATTCATCCATTGTGCCGAAAATCATAATTACCGGGCGATCCGGCATCTCTGGATTCCAGCGTAGCCATTGTTGTTTGCCTTAGTTCACACGGTGACCGTCTTGAGTTTCGCCTGAGCCTCCCTCGAAGCCGGCGGCCGCTGGATTCCACAGAAATGAAGCTATACTTCTGGGGGAAGTGTGGTACCGTGAAATACCTCAGGGGAAGAGGAAGTGAGAGAGGGAGGGTCATTATATTGGATCGAGACGTGAGGGGCCTTCACAGAGCAGCAGTCTACTAGACCTGGCAACTGCTGAGAGTATGATAGAGAATGAGATGGATATCAATAGGATGTCAGGCCATATGCGATGCTTGAGTGGGGGGCTCTCTGGGGTTCCTGTTTGTCTGGGAGACTCTGGCCGAATCGAGGTAAACCTGGCTTCACCGTTTCCCGGTGAGCTCCGTCGGCCGCGCAGAATAGCTTCTGAAATGTGTCATTATCTCCACAGGCAGATTCTCGTGGGCAAACAATGGGGACAGTGGCGGCTTCCGCACACACGCGTGATGGCCGGGGGGGCATGGTGGGGAGGGGGGCGTGGCTAACCCATCCGTACTTGAACTTGTGCAGTCAGAAAGTACCCAGAAAGTGGAGGAATCACAAATCTGTTTTTTTTTTCGGTTTTTGAGTGACCGTAGGAAACGCCACAGAAGAGAAGCCGAGTGATCTGTGAATGTCAAACGCTGCTCTTTATATCAAAAAAACATGCAGGTAACCTGTCTGGCTTCAGGGAAATGTCTGTGAATTTCAATTTTGTTTTTATATTACATGAGGAACACTTTCACGCACACACACTGATGACGATCATCTTGTTTTTCGCTGCCATTGTGAAATATTCCCGTAATTGATGAGCGGATCGGCCGTGGGTCATTCTCTCCAGCCAGGGTTAGGACTATAAATGTCGTCCCTTACATTTTTTATTTCCTCTCTTGCTGGGGGAGATGCAAAGTGAGGGAGTAGAGAAAGGTTTTTTTTTTATTATTATTTTATTTTTTTGCCCATAAGTTTATTGGCCATAAGTGATGGAGGGAGATACTGGCAGATGAATGAAGGTAAAAGACCAAAAGAAGCTATTTGCCTGCTGGAGGCAGATGTAGACACCGGTTATTGGCCCGCATGACCTTACAGAACCGGTAGCATCCAGCATCCAACTGATCACTGACATTCTTATGGTGGTCTTCTGATCGAAGAATATTCTGGATGTCCCTTTCATCCGATTGCTGCTTATCTGAAACGGGTGTTATTGGTGTCTTCCTCCTTAACGCCAAGGCCCATTCAGGTCTCGTCTTATTTCCCTTATCCCGTTCTCCTGCAAATTGCCTGGCGCTGGCTGATTGGTGAGATTATGTGGCCGGCCTTGCCGGCATTGTCCCGCGATGCCGTCCCTACTGTGTCCCCCCGACCTTGAGCAGGCGACGCGTTTCGTCTGTGGCTCACGGTCTGTTCGCTGCTAGTCCTCCAGCACGCTGCTGAGTTATAATTTGGCCCGACCTACACTCACAGAGGGAAGATCTTACCCCAGATTTTGTTGCAGTGTCTTATGCTACTTTTCCAATTAGCCCAATAAAAAGACACAAAAAACTCACCTAGCTCCGCATTAAAAAAATAAATAAATCAGAGGAAAAAAACCCGAACAAATGAATAAATCTATACAGTGCTGCTTCGTAAATGTGAGTTTTGCATTTTTCTGAGTTATGAACAGGTAATTACTGATTAGCCCAATTAGAGGAAAGCTTGAATGAAATTATGCATGCAGCATCTCTTCTGGAGGTTTATGGTTTGAAATGTACACCGCGATGGTTTATTTGCGGCTAAGAGTGGAAGGGCAGGCCAATTACTCTGGGTGAGAGAGCGTGAGGGAATTCACCCAGATTTTCCTCCTGGTTAAATCAGACGTGTTTCCTGTGATGCAGCAGCGTGATAAAGGTCGTGTCTGGAACGCCGCCCTTTTTTATATCAAAGCACGGCGCGCCGTGGGGTGGGTGGTCTGCCGGAAACCGACTACCGTCTCGCATCGAACCGGTGGAATCTGGCTTTAAGGTTTTTGAAAACCGATGCCTCGTCAGAGACGGCGTCGCCCCCTACGCATCAACGCGGTTTAAATGTCAAGACGGCAATCGATAGGGAAAAAAAGGTCATGGGGACATTATTTCCTAATTGGGTTCTGAGGGCATAGCAAAAAAACAAATTTATTCCCTCAAAAAATGTGAAGTGTGTCACATTGACAGATTTGGTGCATTCAGAGCCCTGGGCACAAACTTTTGCACCCACCCCTCCGAAAAAATAAAAACCTGGCCTAAACTATATGCCCTAAATTAAACAAAATCAAATTTCAAGCCCCCCTAAAACACACAGAGAGGTCTCTTAAGACGGAGCAGCAGAAAACACTAACGCATAATAATCGAATTAACCTACCCTGCTGTTCCACGTTATCCAGCCTTAACCCAATAAGTAATGGGTCTAAAATAGCCCGTTAGCCGTATTCTAAGCAGGTATGCTCATTTGTACACGCATCTCACATAACCTGCGGCCGGAATAGTCCATAATCATAATCTGTGCTCTGCATTAAAGTATCAAGTTTTTTGTTTTTTTGTCAGCTCATCATCTGCGACTTGCTCACAGCTCCAAATGAAGAAACCCTCCTATAATAGCCCTCCAGAAT